AAAGTGCAGTCCTCCACTGTTTCTCTGACACTCAAGAACACACTCAAATGTTTTCTCTGCTAGTGTAAAATAATTTAAGTTAATATTTATCGTGAAAGCGCCACTTAATAACTCAATCTAAGGACTATAAATCATTTTCTCCAACATATCGTATGCATCAGATATCCATCAGCATTGGAGTAATATGAATTACTTGCAATGGCACATGCTTAGTCATGGATAGTAATCTACATACCTCTACGAGTATATGTAAGTAATGAGTACATTGCTTGAGAGTAAGAATTTATTATTAATTTATCAGGGAATTTGAAACTCGGAATCTGATTCTATAATATTTTTTACTATGATCATTTGTTTTAAAACAGGTAGGTGATCAGCCTTCCGTGCCTGACACAGTGTGCTTCTATTATATATAAATAATTATCGTGAATTTTGGTTTTGAAGTGTTTAAATTCTATCCTCTCCATCTCAACATCTGGCGTTCCAAATGTGCATTAAAAAACACGATGTTTTTTAATGCACTTTTTGCCACGGACTCTTCGTGGAATCAACTGCAAGTAGAGGTATTTCCGATTTGATACGACTTACGGCCTGGCCACGGGGATCGGAGATGCGAACGGCGAAGCGGGAGGCGAGGCGACCATTCACGCGGCGCTGCTTGCAGGCCACGCACCAGTCAGGTTCGCCGCCGCGACCAGTAATGAATCTCGACAGCGATATGTCTTTATCGAAATCATCTCGATATTGCTTGGAAAGTAATAGTTTTTTGGTTCAAGACCTAACATTTGGAAGAGATTGTGGAGTACATGATTTAAATAAGAATCGAGGTATAGATGGAGAATTCCACAAGAAGTACGAAAAATACAGAATATATTCAGAAATTTTTTTGAGTATACCAGAATGAATATTGAAACCTTAGATTATATTCTTATGAATATTCAACCAGAATTGGAGAAAAAAGTGAATGCAAAAGGAATTTTAAGTGCCTCTAAAAAATTATGAGAATCTGGAAATTTTATTTCTTCCCACAATCTCTTCACTACATGCTTAAATTTATGCTGTGGATGGCCAGACTTCCAAATAGCTGGTCCAGCCAGTATTTCAGTAATAAAAAACTCTGTATTCATTTTTCGCCGCTAAAACGACTAAACTTATTTAATCCCTGCTCTATTCGCCGCGACTGCCGCTCGACTCCGTGGCTTGCGCCGTACTGATTCATGCATTTGTTTCGCTCGCCCGTCGCGACGCCAGTCGCCCGCGCGATTCGCTCGGTACATTTCCCCGGTCGCCGTTGCGCGTGGCTTGATTAGTACATTGCTATGAGTTTATTTCAGTCGCTAGACGCTTCGCCGTTCGCATCACGCGAATATTCGCATCGGCGAATGTCCCGTGGCCAGGCTGTTAGATGAAAGAAAAGAGCGTACCATTCCCTGAAATGTCGGCAACACACCGGCATCCCGGCGTTGCAAGTGTCACTAATCACTTTATTCAAAGTGTCCCGCCTGCTCGTTTGCCTCCTGTTGCATAAAAAAAGATAAAACTTAAATGTACGTAACTTAATTTCTTGTATTACAATGGTAAAACGATTCGCGAGAAAAATGCTACGTAGTGGAAATTGCCTAATGTTTTAATATTTCATTAGCATGTGCACTATTGTAATTTGTACCCTGTGGCCCGAGTGTCTAAACTCACTACTACTTTTATTGATTATTTTTACTTACAGGCAAGCGACGGGTGCAGGTGATAGTTACATTTATTTTTAAATTATAGTCACTAAAGCAATTTACTATATTATAGCAATTAATGCTTAGAGCTCATTAAATTCTAACATGCGAACGCGATCTTTTTATAAGGGTATGTTTATTAAGAATCTTGTTTATGAGTACTATTGATTTGCAATACATTCTATATTCATGAAAATATTTACATGCTAGAATAATAAGTTTATACTTGATATTCTTTTAGCATGGCCTTGATAGGCACAAATGGGGTAAGTAATAATAGATAGCGAGATAAATGTCCTTCCGAAAATAGAGAAATTTCCATTAGTTTTAATGTAAAACAAGACGCGAAAGCATTATTAAAATACCTTTAATAATGAAAACGTTATAGGACTTTGAATTTGCGAAAGCAAGAATAATTTGGTTCCAGGTATTTTGTTATTTTAATATCATAACGTTAAATTTCATTTTAACAACAACTTCTAGATGTTCGCGCAACCCATTCTTGCGCTCGCTCGCTGTTTACATAATTAAATTGAGGGAGGTCTCCGAATGACTAGTGATTTTAAATAGTATGTCTTCACTCGACATCTAGTAATCGTTGAAATCCTCAAGGCATGACTTTAACTTTGTTCTACTGAAGTGGTGAGTAATTAAATAAATTCGTTTCTTCTTCTTATTCGAATCTGAGTCACCCATTAAATTATCTCTTATGGTAGAATAATAAGTATAATTACGAAATATAAGGATATAATTTTGTGGCTCCAGTTGGAGTATTCATTAAATATATATTCTAAGTAACCGATAACTCTTAAAGGACATCTCAGATAATGTATTAATGCAAAATTTCACAATGTTTACTATCATGTTAGTAAAAGCTGGTCTCTATACATCATAATTATGTTTAAAAAACAAACACATATACCTAAAAGCAGTATATATTTTTACACCTTCGAAACCATTTCTAATAATAAACCAATAAAGTTAAAATATCTATCGTCCTGCGAACCTAACGCTCGGTCGATGACCTAGGAACGTTAGGACAGCTAGGTTCCTGCTTAGTCTAAAGCTGGATAGAACGTCGAACCCGGATGCTTGTTTGATTTATAGGTAAGATAATAAGGTCCGCTATTTGAATAATAATGCATCGATGTTATGAATAACAACTATAGATTTAATGAAATAGCTACAAAAGTGTATACAGTGGCTAATACTCGTATATGCCGAAATATAAAGATGTCTATCAAACAAGAAACATTTAATAATTCTAAAAATATGCGTCGCAGTTAGTATCTCATCACAGCCCATGTTATTCCATCCTGACAACATTGTATGGGAAAATATTACGTGCTATGTTTTATGTCATATTTTGAGACGTAATTTATTATTATTTATCGTTAGCATTGTGATCCTAGTGATTATGTATTATGTAAGTGCCTTGTATAGATATCTCTTTTAATATTGCTAAGATTAAGTGTAAATAACATGACACACTTTACATAGTCACAATAGTTTAAACGCCTTAATAATAATAACGTATATATATTATTTTTAATTTCTACGGTGCAATACCATGTTTTGATCTAATGCGGTGTATGAATAATTAATGTATGAATCTATGAACAGTGTATGTGGCGCCATCTGTTGTAGACTTCAAATATTAAAAAAGCTCTCCAGTTACGCCGCGCTGTTTCTTAGATCCTTCAAGTATTATTCATTGTAAAATACTTTATAATAAAAAACAGGCACTTTTATTTAATCGTGTAAGATTTTGGTTATATAATATTTCACTCGTCCCCCCCCTTCAAGAGTATCAATGCCAGCTGACTTTACAGATTAACTTTAGTTAAGTATATCTATATTTTAGTCTATTTAATAAAAGTATTCATTTTTATTCTCTTTCAATAAATCAAATCCAAATGTACTACAAAATCATATAATTATGTATAACGGATTAAGGAACTGGAATAAAGGGCGTTATTAGAGCTTACTGTATAATAATATTCTGCAACGCACATCACAATTTGTGGTTAGCCACAATAATAGTTCACCGTTAGGATATCAAGACGTCATAATAAAAACAGTTATCATTTCCATCATTTAGGAATATCTTCGCCTTAGGCTCGTGTTCTAAAATATAAATTTAAATTTCGTTGCATGATTTTTCAAACCATTTCCTATATTAAATACAATCTTTCCATATTTATTTTAAGGCCATTATCATTTTTATTAATTTTTCCCTTACAGCCGGCGTTGCAAACACCGATCGTTTTTCACATCTGTTTTTCTGCTCTGCTGTTTTTCATATTAAACGGATAATAAAATAAACCTTTTGTTATTTGGTTCAGATATACCAAATTACAAACTATATTTATAATGTTGACACTATATTTTTCTTGACCCACAAAAAATTAATCTACGCAGGAATGGAGAAAAACAGAAAACACTGGTCCTCGTCAAGACAAATCACATCAATCAGACAGAAAATTTAATTTTGTTTTCACTCGAGTAATTAAGATACATTAATAAATTTGTCCTGTGACTCATACGGTTCCATGGTGTAACGGTTAGCACTCTGGACTCTGAATCCAGCGATCCGAGTTCAAATCTCGGTGGAACCTATGTTTTGTTAGCTGTTTTGTAATTATATGTTAGCTAAGTATTATTCCAGTATTAAGAGCTCCTCGTAAAGCTTAAAGAACTACACATTACTGAAGATATTTTTTGCTGAAGGAACGATCTCACAAATAAATGCTTCATTTTACTCACCGGAATCAGTTAGGCAAAATCATTACTTTATAGTGTAAACATTTCTTCAGGCGTTTTGTAAGTAGTAGTCGATGTATCGAACATAGGAACAATATATGTAATATGTATATATGTTATGCGCATAGCATGTTCATATGGTATGCTCAAATTAGTCTGTAAATTATTGGTAGGTACGGTTAAAACTAATAACTAAGTCTGTAATACTCTTTATAAATAAATCAAGTTAACTTATGTTTGTGTTAACCAGATGGAAATAATAATACGTTTTGAGGAGGTTCCCAACATATCATCTTTTATTATTGTTCTTGAAACAGTTAAGTTGCTATATTGCTAGTATACTTATTGATTAGATAATTTAGAATGTGTTGCCTAGCATTCATGGTTACCAAGGCAAGGATTACAAACAAACATTGTCATTTCAAACTGTTGTGTTGTGTTTAATACAAAACAGTAGGTACTAAAATAATAATTCGTTAAGCATTAAAGTTGTTTTTATTTATCATAATTAAAATGCAAATTCAGAAGCTCAAGATACTTATGATAGGTCCTTCTGAAGTAAGTTTTGTTTTATTGATGTTTTGTTGATTGTTTACGGGATTTCTAGAGTATTTTATAAATACTTAATAGTATTCTTACAGTACTATTTCTTTCTTACCACTCTCACCATTCATTACTAAAGTTCATCTTAATATGAGATCTAAGTAAGTAGTAGTTATGAGATCGATAACCGACTAAATATAATATAAAATATAATTGATAAATTCGACTCAAAAATGTCTAATCCGTGAGAGGAAAGAGATTTCATACATACCGTAACACACCAAAAATTTAATTATTGTGGTTTGCAGAGTGGCAAGTCTTTGCTAGCCAATTTCATATCAGAGGCTGTGAATTTTGAAGATTCTGAACCGCGTCCAACTCAGGGTGTTAGAATCGTCGAATTCGAACTGCCAAATCTAAGTATAAACGACAAACAGTGCAAGGTCGATATTGAACTTTGGGACTGCAGCGGTGATCATAAGTAAGCTTTATCTATCTATCTTCATTTGCTACGGTCCTGACATCCCGCACACGCTTCATCCACTTTCATAACATTTACTATACATGTTCGTTGGTTTTTTTGATTTGTCCCTTCTTCTAGTACGTAGGATTTATAATTTTATTAATAAAAGTTTCATTCTTAGGTCCAACTATACAATACCATGAAATTAAGTTCAAATAGCGCTTTGATATCCAGCTCAAAATGTATATTTAGATCCACAATTGGGTGTAATTTATAAATACCATTATAAAATTAATTTCTATGGATCATTTAACAGGTTTGAATCCTGCTGGCCTGCTCTTCGTGTTGGTGTCAACGGTGTTATATTTGTATGTTCGTCTAACTCAACGAATGGACCACGAGAATTGGAACTTTTGTACAACTATTTCGTGTCGCAACCAAAATTATCTACAAAACAGTGTGTTGTATTCTGCAACTGTACCAACGGCCAAGAGGATGATGGTGTTTTGAACTTATGTATGTACACTTTTATTTTGCAAGAAAATAATAGACTACCATAAAATGTTTTAATGACGTGGAATAAGTGATATTGGGGCTGTTTTGACTAATTGTTCTTAAAATCTTGAATATCTTTCCTTCAATGTTACCTTTTTATTTTATTAGAAACCGACTTCGAGTACCATGGAAAGAGATTATAGCTGCTCAATAGAGACTATTTATTTGGTGCCAAATAATAATTTATTTTTTTAGCTCCGACGTTTTCAAGAGTTTCCCAAGTAGCAATCAACATGAATACAAGAAGAGATCGCGTAAAATTAGATTTCATAAATTTTGTGTCATCGATTTTACAATCCATTTCTCAAAGTGAAATTTAAGGCTTCAAATTAATATGGTCTACAATATGTGGTAGAATTCAGGTGTAAAAGTATATTTTAAGTTTTAGAGAAGACGAAGAGTAATAATCGTTAGTAGAAAATGAGGTAAAAATGATGATATAAAAATGAGACTTATTTATTTGAAGAAAAGTTTAGATATTAATGTCTCAGTTAAACAATTTTTGTTTATTTCTTTAAATGTATTGTTTTTCCTAACCCTCCTCATTTAATCTTTTTAAAAGCATACCTTGAGACAGGTAACTTACCCCATAAAACAATGAAGTGTGCATCATTACTGAAAAACATCCATTAATTGTCACCGAAGTCATACATAAGTCATTCCTGTAAAAGAGGTACATTATTCGCAGGTGCTGAATTAATACATGAAAAATATATAAATAATTTATTTAAAATCCAATGGACTTTCATTTTTACAAGTTCCACAAAACTAAATATGCTTCGTACCGTACAATATTACAACTATTGATTTCAGACTATTCACCTATATTATCAGAATACGATTTTCCTATTATATTGCTTTGAATCACGTACAATAAAATACATTACTGAATTATCTAATTCTAATCACCTGTGTTCGATTGCTGTGGGATGCTGATTTAACATAGTACTTATAATAACTTAAACTCAATTATAAACCCGCGCTCAGTCTTAAAACATTTGGCTCCCATAATGAGTACTTTACCAACTTAACTTGAACATTATTAACTTAAATTAAACCTTCTACTGCTTGTTCCTTAAGATTGTAAAATTATTTACATTTCACTTGTACATAAAAAATCCCGAATCCTTAATAAATATTATTTCAATAATATTGTATATATTTCATCATTAATTATAAAAAGACTACCCAGGTGAGTCTAAAATCCTATAATTAAATGTATCACCTTGATCACATTTAGTAAAATAATTGGTGTGGAAGAAAATCTTACCTAATTTCTTTTAAAATTATATTTACAATTATATAAAAGTCATAAAATTACTTATTCTTCCAATTACCACGATCGTTGAAGTTTTTCCGATCTCTTTGACCTCGATTTGACCCGCCGCGGTTCCACCTGTCGTTGCCACGGCCGCGATGACCGCCTCGGTGAGGAAACCTCTGGAAGTTCTGTTCCTCCATATAATTAAAGTCATTACCTGGTCCGTTATACCCCATACCACCGAAGTTGTTGGGAGGACCGAATTTATTATTATTGAAGTTATGTGGAATGTTAGGAGCAATACCTAAAAGGCCCGGAGTGGGCCCGTTTCGCGGATCCGACATTGACTGATTGAAGCCGTGCATGTGTCCCACGTTCATGTTGTTCATCCCGCCTCCCATTCCCATCGGCGGGCCGTTCATCATGTTCATACCGGGTTCCATCCCTCCAGATGGGTTCATATTATTCGCCCCGAATGGAATGGGATTTGGATTAAAGTTTATTGGAGTTTTGAGTAAAGCTTCTTTTGGTTTTGGCAATAAAGAAAATTCTGCATTTTCTCCGAGTGTGATTCCTAAATTTGTAAATATACCGCAAAGAATAGAACTGCTTTGTATCGCGGCCAGGTCGAATTGCTTTCCAGGCATCTTATCCTGGTGAAACTGCTTAATCTGTTGCGTTACAGGTGCTAAATTTTGATTCACAAAAATCTTTTGGGTAGAACTCAAATCTTTGTACCAATTTGAATTCTGTAATATCGTTTGTAAGTCCAAAGCGTTGGGTTTTGGTTCGACATTCACACTTTCGACGGGTTCTTTAGGCTTTCTTCGCGGATCAATACGCGGACCCGAACTGACGGGTGCCGTTTTAGGTGTAGGCTTTTCAGTATCACTGTGAAATTCTTCTGTTGATAATCTAAATACTTTTCTTAACCGCGGATCGACTAAAGCCTGCGATTTAGCAGTACTATTTTTAATGTCTGTGTAATCAGGTCTAGGTATATAAATGGAGACTAATTTGTATTGTATAGGGGGATGATTATTTATGGAACCGTTTATTTCAGAGGCTGGTGTGTAATTAGGAATTGCCTTAAACGGTAGGGTTAATCGCAAATCGATATCTCCGCCTGCGCTCTGTCTTAAGTCCGTGTCACCAAAAGTGGGTTTAAATTCAGATTGTCTAAGATCTACGTCACTCCTTCTACGGCCATCCGTCGGTTCCCCGACGACGCAATCGTAAATAGATATTTTAGATTGCTTTTTCTGAGGAATTAATTTCGGTGTCTCTGCAGTTTTATCTGGCGATCGCTTTGACCTCGGATCCCGTGAGACACTAACTGATTCGGTTTGATTATTTTGCGTTATATTTTCATGCATGTTATTCTTCATGGTATTCAATAATTTTGTCACTTCCTCGCTTATATCAATTTTCGATAAATCTCCTATCTTACTTAGGACAGATGAAGGCTCTATTACATGCGGCGCCGGTGTCGCCGGCGGTGACATGAAACCCTTTTGCGGCGAAGAATTTGGGGACTTCTTTCTTGAACCCTTTTCCTCATCGCTGGAATACCACTTCTCATCAATAAGCAAATTGTTTTCCTCGTCATCGTCTGTCGTAGAACGCCGATTTCTTCTAGCTGGATTTTTAAATATTGGGTCCGGTTGAAGGAATCTTATGTCTGTATCGCTTTCTAGCCGAACTGCATTCTCATTTATATTTGATGAGGTAAATTTTGTTTCAGCGTCAGTATAAGGAAGCACTCTGTGATCGACATCTTTTGTTTCGATTTGGGTAATCGATTTTTCAGCTTCAAATGTATCATTAGAAATATCAATGTTCTCTTTATCTTTTGATGCAAACTTTAATGCATCTTTAGTATATTGGTCAATATCAATTGTATCTTTTGGTGGCGGACCATCTTGTTTTGGGGTGCTGTTTGTTAAAGAATCTTCATGAATTGTTGCAGATACGGAAGACTGAAAACGCATATCAATATCTTGGCCCGGAAAGGCAGTAGATATTGTTACATTATTTGAAATATTTCCTGGCGGTACGCGTAGGTCTAGATCTTTACTACCAGTTCCAGTTGGAATAAGCGGCATTTGTTGTTCAGAACTATTAATTAAACCGAGTTTCTGAATACTCATTGTATTTAATTGTATATCAGTTATTTGTTTAAGGGATATTCCAATACCATTTAATTGTAATACTGTTAGTTGACCTAGTTGATCTAAGTTATCAATACCCAATTTTTTGAGATCTATGATTTGTCTAGGTGTTAGAACTCCGGTTAAATTTTTGATACTTAAAACACTCGAGGAATGACTATAGCTTGGTGATAAATTTGTGCTAGAAGTTTTATCATTTTGCCATCTTGATTGTCGGACTTTTGGTGATATTTTATTTGATCTATCATTATTCATATTAAAATTATTTATCATTTCTGCGTTATTCTGTGGATTAGGGATGTTAATTTCAAACAATGATGGTATAGGTTTTTCTTGATTATCTGATTCCTCAGGATACTGCTGTTTTAGTTTGAGTTGAGTAGTTTGTATCATTTTTATAGCATCTTCACGGTTTAACCTCGGAAAGTCTCCTAAAATTTCTTTAGGTGCTGATTCGATATGTTTAAGTATAATATTTTTTAGATTTTCGTTAAGCGGTTTGCCATGGGCAAATTTACAATCATCATTATATACGCATGGAAGACCGGTATGGTAATATTTGCAAGGAAAATCTGCATGCATGTACAAACATTTATCTCTTTTCGCACAACAGTCCATTAAATAAAACTTACATAGCTCCATTTTACGAGGTGGGTGGGCGTCGTGCGAATAAATACAGTCATCTCCTTTGTGACACTTGCCTTGCATAAAATATAAACACACACCTTCGGAATCTTGCATGTTATGGTTCCCTCTGCGTCGATCATTTTTGTTTTTATTTCTTTCTCTCTGCTGATTTCTGTGCCTGCGGTGATTATCCCTCGAATCTTGACTACTATCAGATTCATAAGATTCTTCTAGCTCATCTTCTTGAAAGTCATCATTTTGTGATTGATTATGTACAGGCGACGCACCTCGAACACACATCATTTCGCTTTCATCCACTTCATCGGAGTAATCTTGCTTTTTACGTTTTTTACTAGGACCATCTTTATTTTCGTATTTTTTTCTTCTCTTATGCTTTCGCCGTTCGTCAACGTCAGTTTCAATATGACCATCGTTGTCTTCATTTCTATTCATAGCTTTTCTTATTGCTTTTTCAATATTGCCAGCAAAATCTTCTTCTAAAGGATTAGCATTTTTCCGAGATTTTTTACTTTTCTCCCTGTACTTTTGCTCACCTTTGTTTGACTTAGATTTTTTCTTCTTACCTGATTTGGAGTAATAGAAGTTTTGTGAATTGGTGTCGCCTACAGGTACCTCTACATCTTTAGCTGGAACATTGACGTCTTTCTTTTCTTCTTGCAGATTTTCAGTTGTTTCTCCATCACTCTCGATTTCTCCGTCTTCCAAGTCGGTATTCGACGCTGGATCCGCCATTTTCAAAGTATTACTGGAATTTTCATAAAATCTTAATTAATAAGTTTATTTGCATAAATAGTTTATTAAGAAAATAATATATTCTGGGCAACATTACATTATTTTTTACGAAAGCATGGTAATGTTTGATCATCATTCATCCTTTGTCACTAAGCAAACAGCATTAGAAACACTGATTATTTATTACAATCGTAATTTTTAAAAGTTTAATAATAGTTAAATGAAGCCACATAAGTTACATATTGATAATCTTTATTTGAGTGCAATTCTAGTATTGCAGAGTAAATGTTTAATAACACACTTGTCTAAGGCTTGCCTTGAAAAAATAATAACATTTACTGTAGGTTATATAATCAGATTATTATTTTTTGTTTGGGCACTTTCATACAGCATTAATATAACATACCATATTAATGACTATATCTTTCGTTGGTAGACTTTAAAATTGATATGATTAATTAAATTCGTAAATGAGCGGCCATTCATTAGTAATTGGTGGATACCATAAAGTTACAAACGTCAAAATATGGATATTGATTCAATTTAAAAATTGTTGTTTCAAACAAAAATTAAAGAAACTTGTTTTTAAATGCCTCACTATTATTAGCTATTTTGAACATTGTACAGAAGCTGTGGCAAAAATTGTGTTGTAGAATTAGTATTCGGTCTACGTCAAAATACAATAATCATCGTGTTGTGTGTGAGCATTTAATGTTACTTGTGTGAACTTTTTATGACATAGAAAAAAAACTATTTACTAAACCAAAAATAATAATCTGGGTTCTATCAAGAGTTATTCGAATCAGTTCTAAAGTAAAACTAGATAATTCTACTGACTAAACCAGAGTTAAATATAACTACGCACTTAAATGCAGTTAAACACGATTAAAAACGAAAAGGCGATAATTAGGTACCCACGGTTGAAATTAATTCTATCACATAATAAAAATATATAATATAGAGTATGTACAAAGTCTACAATAATGCAACAACGCGATACCTTATCTAGCAAATATTCAGATTATTTAGTAGCTATCTAGATATAAAGAAAAAAATTAAGATACCGACTGATAATGTCGATCAATAGTTACAACCAAACATTATTTTTACACACTACATACACACGAGCACGCCATATTTGTATAATCCGAACAAATAAAGAAGTCGCGCCAACTCATGAACAAGAATCTTAAATAGGTTAACAAAGACTTTTAGGAACTGACGTCATGGTTTAAATTAGTTGTTTGGTTAGGATCAAAATGTATATTGATTTTAGGCAAAAATTTAATTAATTATATTTATATTTAAAAAAAATCGATGGAAACATTACGAAAATGAATGTACCGAGATATACCTTTTACTAGACGCGTATAGAGTTGAATAGTTATTATTATGTTTTTTTATGTATAATTAAAAATAACATATCTATAATAGCTATGTTATTTTTAGCGTAAGGAGTTCGTTTGTTCTAAATGGGACTTTGATTTCCAAGTTTCATTTGAATACTATACCTAAGAATCGTCGAAACAATTGTCATTGGGAAATATCTTCAAAAATCACTTAATTGATATCGCAGTAAGTAATTCGACATGTGTGGACAGGATACAGTAGAGCAACTGTTTGCTCCAGCCACAACTTTCAAATTATTAGAAACGAGCGATTAATAAGCAAGCAGTGGGTGGCTATTCACATTTCACAATGTCTCGGTGTGCGCTAAGCTCTCACCGCGAACGAATATAATATAAATGACGTCAGCTTCTAGAACGGAAAGATATTTTTGTCCTTACTTTTACGAGGTCACGATTCGTGCAACGCTCACACACACAAACACAGTGATTGGCGTATAGTGATTCACTACTAAACCGTATAAGCCTACCATTTCTAAAAGGTCGGATGACATGCACTTTAAAATTTAAATGAAATTAAAACTACCTAGGTACTAAATCCTTCACCAAAAGCCCAATTAATAGAATAATTAAGAAATGAGTATTACCTATTTAATAAATCATAAAATTAAAGAGCATGCATAGTACAATAGCTACATAAAAGTTATACATTGACGTCTCAACAAATGAGGTCCGCCATTTTGTGTTCGAAAGATGGGTCTTGGATACATATTTAAGTTAGCAATAATGTTAACTAGGTCAAAAACTAAAGATTTCGACCTAGACATGTTGCTGTAGTGTATTAAATATATCACAATTGAAAAATAGATATATCGTTTTTAATTAGCACTATGTAATAAAATACAATTTTGGGGGCACGCATTGGTAGAAAATATGGCCTAGCAAGTAAATATATAATAGTGTTACCAATCTTACATTAATGAACAATTCACTATGTGCGACTACTATACGCCATGTAAAAAAGAATCTCATAGCATTGCTGCATATAAAGACGAAACAAATCGACTACGTAATAATGATTTCAATTTCAGGTTCGGGCGTCGACTGCAGCGAAACAACAGCTAATTCCGAAAATATTTAGTTCTACTTTTTGCCACTCTCAAAGCAGTGGCGATAGTATCGCGTCATTGCTGCCAATAAAAAAGTATGAACTTGAGTCAAACAATACACTTTTATTTAATTTAACGAAAGTAGTTACAATAACAGCGAAAGATTTTATAAATAAAACATATAACATATTTATTTAATATTACAAAAATATTTTTTATTTGGGAACCGAGAATTTATAATCGAAAGTACATTAAGGCATACATTGACTCGCAATACGTGTTTGTCCTACCACAGTCTATAATAGTTTAAGACACGTTTTTATATTACATTGAGTATTATAATCATATTAAATAATTAAAGTGTGTAGCTATTAAATAATAAAAGATCTTATATCGTGATTGTAATATTATATTTTACTATACTTTTTAATTGTATGGTAATGTCACTCTGACTTTTTTACATTGATGGATTTAATTACTGTCAAAATACTTACATCTAGATTCAAACATTTCAAATTTCCTAATTCGAGGTTTATGTCATAGTATTTGGCAATAACTTTGTGCTGTGTTTTGTGAGTGATAACGATAAACGTGACGATAAGACAGTCAGCACATTTTGAAGAAAACATTCTATAATGTCACAAAATAATAACCCATTTTCCGAATTAATGGGAAGCAAAAATAATGAATCTAGCAGTGGGAATTCAGAATCTATTTCAGTTCATAAAATAACATCAACGAAAAGCAATGAAAATCAGTGTGTTGAAACAATCAACAACATTGTCGAAAATGTTTTCCATTTTACCATAAATGCAAATGCTGCTGATGAAAAGTCTGGCAAGCAGCTTGTTTATCTTGAAGAATTAGCGCAAGTTATGAATTTAAGTTGCATTGATTTGGAAACTTTAGAACAAGCTCTATTTGAAAGATTACTTCTTGGAGATATTGAAAAAAATGTGATCCCCAAATCAAGCAAAGTTTTCAAAGAACATGTTGTTCAAAAACTTGTTTTCCCTTACTTATTTAACTCTATGCAAAATTTACAAAGCTATGAGAATATAAATGATGATATAGTAAGAAATGGAATTAAAAAGATGAAAGAACTAATATTTAGAAATGCTGTTACTGTTCTTAAACAACCTGCATTATTTGAAGAGCAGGATTTTGCAAAACAACTTTTGGAACTACTACAGCATGTAGATCCGCAAAGCCACATATTCTTTATTGATTTAGTAAAAGCCTTCATGGCTGAAGGTTTGAGTATTTGATAATTATATACAATAAATGTTTTGTTGCAAACCGTTCACTCACATAAAATTATAAATTTTTAGGAAATGCAGAATCAAAAGACCAATTGAGAGATACAATGATTCCAGTCCTGAAAAAAATGCATATAGAACTGAAAAGTTTTAATGTAATTGACTTGCCAATTTATATTTTGCCATCTATTAATTTATTTGCAAGTAAGTACTTAAATAATTGTTTTATTTATAATAACTTACAAATGTTTGTTATACTAAAATATACCTTATGAAGTCTTACGCTATTAGTTAATGTAAGGGCACAAACCAATATACCAAAATTGACCATAAAAACAATATATTACAAATATTTTTCAATAATTAGAGGTAATAAAAATTTCCAGGTACTCCATTTTTAGCACCAATTTTATTGGAAGCATGTGAGCCAGAAGATGAAACTATTGGGATTCATTACCAAAATACAATTATAGGTGGATTACTTGCTTTGTCTCCTCTACCAAAAACAGCAGTAGGGCATCATATCTTTTTTGATAATCCCTTGGATCAGGTAATTTTTTATTAATCTTTTGTTTTCTTTTCAAATGTAATTGATTGTTTCTATTTGCTGCAAATGTTTGTTTTTATTTTTGTAATTATGTGCCAGTAAATTTAAAAATTATTGAGTGAGATTTAGAGTTTAGACAATACTGAGTATGCCTCGTATGTCACATACAATATGTTTTTCACATAACTTTACAATCAAAAAGAAGATTTACCTTAAAATTTGGAAAAATATACAAATAGTTACCATTAACACAACAACACATCTTTTTAATTTAAATATCTTATTATTTTAGACATCTATATCAATGACAGAAACATCTCTTTGGAATGCTACATCACATCTTATAAATAATATGCACAGAGTATTTTTGACACTATTAAAGGCAGGCCCAGACATTAAATATAGGCTACTAAGATGGATTGCAAAATGTCTGAAAAATAATGCAGCCAGGGGCAAATTGTGGAATATTCAGGTAACTTTTGATTTAAAAGTAGCAGAGTGACAAAACTGAAGTTATGTATATAATAGTGAACTGTAAGTTATGTTTGAGTATTTCCTATGGGACTTATAACTAGAATAAAAAACATAATGCTAAGGGCACTTTATCAGAGATAGAGTAATAAGTTGAATTAAAAACTTCATATATTGTTTTATATTTCAGGGTGGTGAATATAACTCGTCCACATTCAATTATGTATCAGACAGTTTTATGTTAAACCTGGGTGCAGTTTTATTACAACTTTGTCAACCATTCTGCTCTGTGCCAAATGATCCCAAGTCACTTAAAATAGATCCAACATATGGCGCCGTACCTGTAAGTAGGCATTACTTCTTCTTTTTGAGAAATGTACAATTACCAAATTTTTACTGGCCATTCTTAATTGCCATCCTGTGTCTTGTATTTATTTTACTTGCATCTGTACTTAATAAAATTATTTTTTAAATTAAATAAATTTTGAGAGTGAATAAAAATTAAATAATATGTCTTTAACATTTCACAAGTAAGACAAATTGATATCATATTCAGATTCTCTTTTTGTCAGCCTGAAGAATGCGAAGCGAAATCAGTGCACTTGGACTGCCTTCATACGGAGACATGTCTCCTCCCAGCTCGGGAAACTGAAGAGGGAGTAACTGTTAAACGTCCAACCGCCGAGACATACAACTTTGTTACTGAATGTTTTTTTATGACACAGAAGTGTATCGACTTGGGTTTGTTTCCACAAAATTTACGTTCTTATTATATACAAAACTATTCAGTTAAATTGCACTGTTTTAACTGATTTAGATTTTAATAATATTATAATAATATTTTAAAAAAATATTTTTTTCCACATTCAATGTTTGTCAGCGACGGGTGCGCTATCATTTTTCTTTTAATTATTGCGCTACTTCGTCGTTAGTTAATTTATATTGTTATGTATAATGCCTATTATAGTATGAAGAAACAAATGAATATTTGCTCGTTTGTAGGTTTCCGCGTTTGTGTCGAAAAGCTGTACCGGTGTAGCCAAGAAGTGAGCAGGATCCAACGTCAAGTGGGGGTCGCCGGAACCGCTAGTAATGCAATGGAACGCTTCTTACAATTTCATATGACCAAGTAGGTACAAAAAAAAACTTCCTTGGCAAACTAATTTTTAAGTTTTGTTCAAATTTATACAAATCTGAAACTTCTAAGATTTCCGAGACTTGGATGGAAAAGAAGAGATATGTTAGGAATTTAATTGTTTAAAAATATTAAGTGTCGAAAATTAATACAAATTATAAATTTAATTTTTTAAATTTATTTCTTCGATAATAAAAATAAGGTAATTTGCCCTTCTCAGTCTCTCTCAATCGGTCTCGATCGCTCTCTCCCTTTTCTTCGACAAAAACGCTGCACATCTTCGTGACGTTTCCGTAAAAATTTAAGTTTACTAAAGAAGTTTCACTTTAAGAAATAATTTATATTTATTAACATATTGTTCGTGTTAGTCGGTCGGTCTAGTGGCTCAAGCATGCACGTTCAGCTCCAGGTCATCGATTCGAATCACGTCTGTGCACCAATAAATTTTTATTATTATTTATCACGTGTTTAAAGCAAATGTCTTCACCGATGTCGATGCCGGAGTCTGCTGGAGTCGGAGGTCATATTTTCTATTTAATTATGTATTATTGGTCCTACATGATTTTTCGTTTTCAGATATTTATGCCTCCGTTGTGCGTTGTTAGAGAAGGAGACTCTCGCAAACCTGAATCGCTTCCAAGCGATGACATGCACTTGGCTGGTCCAGGTCTCGATTCGGGAGAACGAGATCCGATCGTGCTATGCGCCCGGCACCCTGGCGCCCGTGGACCTGCCCGTCTCCACGCCGCCGCCTGACACGTTGAGGTACTTTTATGATATTTCTATATTAAAGTGAGTAATAGATACAATTAATCTAAGAAAACCATTGTTGTGTAATTCATAAGTTTATCGTCACACTTTGATGGTTATTGCACAAGGATATAAATGAAGATTCTCTCCTTCAAGAAAAGAGCGTGCCCACTCTTAAAAGGCCGGTAACGTGCTTGCGAGCCTTCTGCCAATGTGAGTTTCGATGGGCAGCGGTATCGCTTAACTGCCCGTTTGTCTCCTGTTACATTAAAAAAAATACTTTTGTATTGCTTTATTTGAATTCCGTATTTGAGCCGGGATTATAAATAATTTCAGATGCGTTCCTGAATTCGTGTTAGAAAATGTAATAGTGGTAATAACGATGGCTCGACGCATGGTCGGCGCCATCACCGAGGAGGCGGACCTGGCTGGACTGCTACAGCCCGCTTTGACGCTCGTGTTGGCCTTCATGAGGGACTCGAGCAGGACCTACAATCCACATTTGAGGTATGGGAATTTCAACTAACGGGACTTAAGTGTCAGAATTAAATTCTATCTTTTATTTTAACCGACTTAAAAAAAGGAGGAGGTTGTCAATTCAGAGTGTAATTTTTTATTCGAATTGCGCCATCTATGATTAGAATTATATACTGCGAACTGCTTTCGTATGAGACTCGCCAAATAATAAAAAGTAAATTTCAGAGCCCGATTGGCAGAATGTCTGGAAGCAATGTTACCGAACCATGGCGACGAACAACAACCGCTGAGCAACATGGCGTCCTTCTATCGGGAACAATTGTTTAAGGAGCACCCTCACAGACTGCAGGTAAACTTTGCTTTCTTAGTTCACTTGCCATTTAATATTTTTAACCGACTTCCAAAAAGGTGATTATCAGTTTCATCTGTATGTATATGTTCTCGTTCGAAACATATATTTGTTTATAATTTATTTAGTAGAAGTATATTTTTTTTAAACAAATTAGACTGGGCATATTATGAGCTCGAAAAAAAGAAAAATGGACAAAAGACAGTCATAGAATGGTATCCCAGAGATGGGAGAAGGGAAAGAGACCTTCAAATAGAAAATGGGAAGACGATCTGCCGGAAGGATGGAGATTAGCTCATAAAAGAGATGAGGGAAGGCCTATGTCGTAAGACAACCCAACCGACTGGCCGGTCCTGACTAATGTAAAAGATATAACAAAAAAGTTAAAAATATAGTTAAAATTATGTAAATGTATGTATTTGATTTGTGAATAAAAGCTTTTATTATTTATTATATATTATATCCACAAATTTCCTAGGGACTAGTTCCCCTTCAATGTCTGAAAGGGACATGTATAACATACCATTATATTGTCATTGTATATATCTAATATATTGTCATCATACATCAACAATGAATTCTATATTATTCTATAATCTTCCACTACGGCTGGTCCCCGCGGAAGACTTAGACCATCACCCTCTAACAAGAACAAAAAACAAAAGGAATGAGAACAAATTATACATAGCAACTCTAAATGGAAATTGTTAGAGGAGGCCTTTGCCAAGAGGCACACTGAACTCAGAGATATTTTATAACTTAAAGATAAGAGTCAACCACAAAGTCAAAGAAACAGTTCAGGATAAGAGGCTTATTATTATTATATATTGTCATTATTTTCCCTTTTAGGTGACAGATTTTTTTAAAATTTGAATCTAATTCTGTTCGCGAATGTAGTTCTAATATCTTATCGCATGAACAGTGTCAAATATAATAAGAATTGTCGGCCCGTTTCAGTTAGTGCCGTGCCTCTTGGACGTGTTCGTAGGCATCGAGATGACAGGCCAAAGTGTCCAGTTCGAACAGAAGTTCAACTACCGCCGACCCATGTACGTCGTCATGGAGTTCCTTTGGGGCATACAGGAGCACCGGGATGCTTTTACGTGAGTATACCTCGAGACATATTTTTATGAAGAACTATAATTAAGAAAATTTTAATTGGTTATTTTAAAAACCGTTTCTTACTATATAATGCCTTTAGAGGATATAAAAATTTCTATTTTTAAGGATTTGCTTTAAATAAATACACAAGCATTGATATTAACAAAAATATGTTTTCAGTTATCTCGTAGACGAAGCAGAAGCGAACATGGAAGCAGTTCATCCGCCAATTTTCCTTCGCTTCGTGAATTTGCTGATCAACGACGCCATCTTTCTTTTGGACGAAGCCCTCAGCAATATGGCCCAGATACGCATCATGCAAAATGCGCGGTTAGAATAGTTTAATTTATTTTTCATGTTTCTGACGAAAAGTTGAAAAGTTTATTATAAATGTATAAAAAAAATCAGGAATAAATATATTATGCCCGCAAAATGTCTCATCTAGTCACCGTCTCGTCCATTTCAGAGAATCGGGCGCATGGGCATCCCTTCCTGCACATGAGCGTGAGCAGAACCGGGCAAATCTGACCCATATCGGAATGCTGGCCCGTTTTGATAATATTTTGGGGAAAGACACGGTTCGCACGTTAGCCCGTTTGACTGCGCACGCGCCGCACTTTTTCTGTCACCCGACTTTGGTCGATCGGGTTGCCTCCATGCTGAATTACTTCTTGTTGCACCTCGTGGGACCTACCAAGAGGAATTTCAAGGTAATCCACTGGTTGCTTATTTATTTTATTTTAATATTAAATAAATAATTAAGTAACCAACTCAATCTTTAGCTTAAAACACTGGTTAAAAGAAAATACGCTACTGAATGAACGCCAACATATAAAATTAATATCAAAATGTTCAGGTAAAGGACATGAAAGAATATCAGTTCGATCCGGCCGTAATAGTCCTGGATATTTGTCGGATGTATGTGGAACTCGGTTCCAACGTGAGGTTCTGCGCTGCGGTCTCTGACGATGGAAGGTCCTATTCGCCACAGCTCTTTGCCCTGGCTGAAACGGTTTTGGGTAAGAATATTTTGTATCATTTAGTATTTAGGGGAAAGAATTATTTCTTTTCGACAAAAAGTAGATCTTAGTAATTAATCATACAAATGCAGTTTCGTTGGCACTGTTTTACTTTTTACCAATTAACCGAATGCAACATTGAACCAAATCTAAATCTCAAGATGGCAGACTTGTAATATTATTTTTTACGACGGTAAAAAGTCGGTTAATGATGAGACATGTATGTGATAAAAAAATTGTCTTATTATAATTACCCAATTATTTAATTATCTATTCCAGTGAGAATTGGAGGAGGCTGTTTAATATCATCCCTACAAGAATTGGCATCCAGGATTAGCACATTGGCCGTTCAACGAAAACGCGACGAAGACATCCTCGCGAACGCCCCGGAAGAGTTCCTCGACCCCATCATGAGCACCCTGATGCTCGACCCGGTCGTGTTGCCCAGCTCCAGGACCATCGTAGACAGGACCACTATTGCTAGGTGGGTCTTTTTATAATGATTTGGCCAAATATTATATATTTTGTCGAAAATAAACAGATTTCCCTTTACGAGCAAATTTCATAGAGAATATAAAAAAGTCCTTGAGGAATCCTTTTGATTTTCAGACACCTCCTGAGCGACCAATCGGATCCATTCAACCGTTCCCCGTTGTCAATGGACCAAGTGAAGTCGGACACGGAACTAAAGCAGAGGATACACGCGTGGATCGCCGAACAAAAGCAGAAAGTGCAATTGTCTGAGAGTAGTTCTTAAGTTATTTAAAAATGGCCATTGAAATTTTGTATATACTTATGATACAGTCTCGCCCCAGTCGGGTACGGTGCAGACTGTATCAAGTTATCCCGAATCATTTATTTTGCCGGGAATCGAACTCGGGACCTACGGCACAGCTAATAGTTGTATATCGATTAAACATTTTAAACTATTAGTTGGTTATACTCAACTTCTGAATGTCTTTATTTTTGTTTAAATAGCATTTATTAAACAAAATCCGTCTAATTCAGTTTTAACGGAGTCACTGTTCCCTTTTCGTGGCGAGTAGACGCGATTTGATAGAGTAGTTAAATTGCTGTAAGGGTTTTAGTGTCGAGGTAGGTAAAGCACTACCATTATTCGTTACTTATATTTGAGGTTTCAAAAACATACTTTTTTCCATAAATTTTTGTGATATTATTTTAATAAAAATTCCATAATTGCTCAATGTTTTGGAGTGATTCGCTTTTCAAGTTATGTTACTTGTTTTCCCACCAATTGCGGTTTATTTAACTTTATAAAGTTAAAGTTATGTTCATAGCGCGTATTATATATTGCTTGTTAGTAAATTAACATATATTTTTTTGAAGTTATACTTCTTTAGGCGCCTTATGAAAAATTGATGAGAGTAAAATTTTACGATGCGCGCGCACCGTGATACAAAATAAACAGAATGAAGTTGCCCACGGAAGATGCTACGGCATTGGACATAATTTAAAAACAACATTCGAATAATAATAGAATTTATGTTACACTTAATGTAAGAGAATAATAATAAATATTTATTTATTTAATTTTTCAAATCTAAACTGAACTTTATTGACTATAATGACTCCTTGGTATCGATTCGATAACGATGCGCCCAAATTTGGGGTTGCTGGGGTGGTGAGGAGGGGGGGAGGGGTGTAGTAACCACCCCCCACAAATTTTGCGCGTCGGAAACAAACATTTTTTTTTTAAAAATCTCACCTATTTATCTACTCCAACTCGGCTTCTTGGTCGCCTTCGGCGACCAAATATTCATATACTAACCTAACCTAACCGATCTAAATAATATTTGTTTTTTTGGACAGCTCCGGCGCTACGGGAAATGCAGCCCCTCCACCCTTGCGTACCAAAGCACAGGCAGTTACAGCGGGTGGGGGCTGCTCTTCCTCCGCGCCTCCGATTATTTATATACACTCTAGGGGTAAGGCAGACAAGACCACGTGGATAGTGGGGTGCTCTGATTCGGTTTTGGGTACTTTTTGAATAATTTAAAAAATTTCGGAACCATACACTAATTGAAACATGAAGTTAATGTAATGTATGTACATTTGACAAGTAATGATTAAATTAGGTTCAACTATAAAATTAACAAATGAGAAAATAATCGATCCGATTAATTTACCGAGAATGTCACATCACTTATAACCAACAGAAAACGAGAATGACACATCTCTTATAACCAATAGAAAAGTAGATAATGGTGGATTGTTTACAAATTTCAATACATTTCACAAAACTTCAAAAAAAATTTAAAAATACTTTGACGCATTTCCGGCAGCTAAAATTACTTGGAGGTGTTCCAATCAAGGTCCCCGAGGACTCCTGCATAATCAGTATCATCAGATTCCAACGCGCGCTCTACATTAACAATTTAATCGCAACCTGTAAACGGACCCCGAGCCCGTGAACGCGCCTGTGAACGTGAATGCCGCGTCGGGCAGTGTCGGTTTTTTCTAGTTTTTTTTTTTTTGTCAAAAGGAAAGTTTGTGGGCGCCCCGAGAGTGTTTACACGCGCGCATGCAGACAGTCTTTCGGATTATTTAATTGTGAATATAATTATTTTCTTTTTCCATGCAATCAAAAAAAAAAAAAAAAAAAAAAAAAAAAAAAAAAAAAAAAAAAAAAAAACCCCCCCCCCCCCCCCCTTTTTCAAAAAAAAAACCCCGGGGGGGGGGGGAAAAAAGGTGTTTTCCCCCCCCCCCCCGGGGGGCCCCCCCCCCCCCCCCCCCCCCCCCCCCCCCCCCCGCCGCCCCGCCCGGGGGGCCGGAGAAACAGAATCCAACCCCCCATTTTCCCCCCCCACCCGACCCCCTTTCCAGTCTGGGGCGGGAGGAGGGGGGGGGGAAAAAAACAAGAGACCCCCCCCCCCCCCCCCCTCCCCCCCCCGCCACCCACGCCGGCGCGGGGGGGGGGAGGGAGAACGCCCGCCGGGGGGGGGGGGGGCGCGGGCCGCCGCCCCCCCCGGGGCGCCCCGCGGGGGGCGCGGGGGGGGGGGGGGGGGGGAAGAGAGACAAACGCACAACCACCTCTTTCATTATTTAATTGTAATTAATTATTTTCATGCAATCAAAAACTATTTTTAATAATGCCAAAGAAGTATAACGTCTTACGCGCGTACATAAGTACACGCACCCTTTTTATTTTATTTTTTAAATAAATTCTATTTGTTCGTTATTTTTAGAAATACTGTTGTATGAAAAAAAACTTTTTTAGCTGTTTACACTTCTCAAGGTAAGTTTCAGTCGAGACTTTAGCGCCAAGTTTGCCTTCCTCGTGTCAAATCCGATACGTTTTTGACATACGTGAGTCACCCTTAGCTCTACGTCTCGGCTCCGAGCCTTAACCTAAGTGTAAAACAATGATTACTACATTTAGTGTAATAAAGTCGTCGGTCCAAACGGTCCCAAGACTACTTATTTTGTATGATCTTGTAATGTAAGAACACAATTGTTATAAAATGAGAATAAACTTTTTGGTGTAATTTTGTTTTTCCTTAAAAATAAATAAATCGGTACAACAGATCATTTGTCAAGCCAATAGGGGAGCAGGTGATCGGCCTCCCGTGCCCGACTTTTCGTGTCGAAGGCGAGTCTGTTTCCTCACGATGTTTTCCTTCACCGTTCGAGCGAATGTTAAATGCGCACATAGGAAGTCCATTAGTGCACAGCCCGGGATGAGAGTCCTGCGTCTTTCTTAAAAGCGAAATAAAAAGGAAACTTTAAATCAGTCTGTATATTGGATATGTCTGCAATACAGCAAGATACAATACAATGAAAACAGGTAAAAGTGATAAAATATTGGAAACAAAAATAGTAATTAGAATTTCTTCTTTGAACAAAACTATAATAAACCATTCTTATTATTACTTAAAATCGATACTATTATTATTGATGTTAGTCAATGCCTCTAAAGACGAGCCTTTTGTGTCGCGTCGCTAGTAAAAAAATTAAATCACTTTTTTTATCAATAAACCTCAACAATTCGATAACTAAAACTCAACAACCCGTCGATAATTTTCTTATTCCCTAATTTTGACGCCTAAACATTACAACAAGACGCCGCACAAGAGGCTCGACGTGTGAACTTATATCAATGGGCACTTTTGGTTTAGTTTAAACGTTAGTATTTAGTCTAATATCGTAGTAATAAAAATTACAAACTTATCGGTCACCTAAAAGCAAACATTAAAATAATTAACTTTCTATAAAAGAACTATCAAATCTAAGATCCTAGCAAAGTTATTTTATGTTACATCTCGCCCGACTCCCTCCCTCGCATACAAAAATATCTTTATGTACTTTAAAAAGGTCACCCCCGCTTAACCCGGACCCGTGACGTCACCTAAGCGTCGCGTCACGAAGCTCACGATGATTCCGATGCACTCTCGACGTCGACGTCACCGCTATATATTGCACTTATGAGAAAATCTACACAGAAATCCGGATTTCAATACTGGCTCGGTTTTACGTTTCCCATATTTGCGCAGCGCTAACTATAGTACCCTAGACTCCTATCACTTATCGAACTTCATATTTATATTATAACGCGACGAAATGAAATCGATCGAGGGGTCGCATATCACATTCATTTGTTAAATCAAGGTCACGTACGTTATCTGTTATTATTATTATTATATACACATCGCTTTACATCGTCGAATTCGGCACATTTTGTGAGGGTGGCTCCTAATATAAATTTCGATTGAGCAATTGCACCGTACTCGGTTCCAAAGGTGAGCCAAAATATACATTCGCCGTCGCTCTGTTACGCTATAAAAAATAATGAAGCATATCTAAGCCTGTCTCCGACGCTCTCGGTGACCGGTCTCCGTGATAAAAGCCTTTGGCCAAAACGAGAGATCCGATCGGCGCATTCACTCTTTCCTATTCTAGATGATAAAAGCGAACCGGGTCTGAGCCGAGGCCAATACAAAAGAAAAGAGCGCGTCTTAACTAACTTTCACTTGTCGAGACCTGTATCAAAGTACGAGTAAAGTTTCCAAAAATCAGTCTATCTTCCCGCTTCCCTCGTCGAGTCCCTTTAAAGCTATTTTCTCGAGAGACCCATTTCAAATTCGGGACCGGAGACGGACGCCTCCGTCCCGAGCCCCGAAACCCCTCAAGTTTGGTCCTAGTTCTTACAAAAATATATAAACGGTTTTAACTGATGATATGTCGAACGAAAGTTAACTTTAACTAAATTGAGATCACTGAAATCCAGCCACACTCCAAATAACAAAGTATGTACATTTTTGTAAGCCGTTGTCTCGATACAATTTAACCTAAAACGATTATTATTGTCGTTTCTATTAATCTCTGGGAAATCCGGTGAGAACTCGTCGTGACAAAGCATCATTTGAGGAAGGTGTCTTCTAGAGAACGCAGGACGAACAGATCCTAAATTTTGCTACATTGGACTCTTACGGAGTGCCTCGGGCCTGTAGGATAGTAAAAACATATTTTATTGACCATTTCCCATTTAAAAATCTGTTCGTCCGGTTTCCGACAGATTACAAACATCCCAAAAATCTTAAAGGTGTCATCGCTCGATCTGTATAAACCCTTAGGCCCATATTCCAAAAAGTATCTCGAGTCACGGTTCACACTGGAGCACCACCGACACGTCAACGGGTTAATAGACATAGTGAGTTCCACCTTTTGGAATACGGCCGGTTAAACTCACGGATGAAAACAGTTTTCTGAATTTATAAAACATGAAAAAATACGTCCACAATGAACGGCGTCAATTGTCAACACAAAACATACTTAACATCGTACCTCATCTGTTCGAGGGTACAAATCGGTTCTCTCGCATCTGCAGAGTTAGAAAATGTACGTAAATGTAATGCTCCAAAGTGAAAAGCGCCAATGAACCCTTTTGTACCCGACGAACGCCTCGCGAAAAGTCTGAGTACATGGTTTAAATCTATAAATTGTTCATAAAAGATGTTCCGAATCCCGATTTCATTGTACTGTCACGTTCGGTCGGTCACCCCTTAAATAAACCGGCAATAGGCCGAAATCGACAAGCCGTCGCAGATTTGACGAGACTGGACGAATATAAAGAAAAATTAAACAAGAAAATTATAAAAAGAAATTACACGGAACCGAACCGTTCGGCTCTACGTTTCGACAGAAGCGAAACTCTAGTTAGGGCGTCTCGTCCGTCCGTCGAAGCGACGAGTCCGGGGGCTAGTCGGAGGCCGGGGGGTGCGGCTGCAGAGGCTGGAAGGCCGAGCACACGGACGGCCGCAGGGTGAAACCCGGCGCCGAGGGCTTCATCACCGACACCGACTCCGTGTGGGTGCCGTCGCCCGACTTCAGGTTCACCTGGAAACGAAAGAGTTCTTCTCCAGTCCTATTTGCAACAATCCAATCTTTCAAACTTCACTAATAGTTTTTTCAATCGATCAAAAAATTGATAAACAGATAAATGCCAAAAGCATATATATATATATATATATACTAGTGGACCCCACAGACGTTGTCCTGCATGATATTTAAAGCGATTAGGATATTAAGCAAAGTATGAAAGTACCGACTGCAGTGCCATCTGCCGGGCTGATTTGTGAATCTAAACCATTCCCATATCCCCTTGAACACACACAAAAAATTTCATCAAAATCGGTCCAGTCGTTTGAGAGAAGTTCAGTCACATACACACGCACACAAGAAATATATATATTAAGATATTGTATTTCAGATATAAGGCTTTCAATAAATAAATAAAAATGCCAAAAGCACATATCGCAGCAAACATTTCTAATATTGGTAATATTAATTACTACAATAATTTAAAAAAACTAAGTAATAACAAAATTTTATAAAAACCTATACCTGTACCTTTTCACAACCGTCTGGGGGTTCACGGGCCAAGAATCTATTGATCTGTGGCGAAGTCCCCAGTTTCGAGCCATCGAGATCTGGAGACGAACAGACACTTCCACCTGGAACGGTCAAAAGGGATCTCACTTCACGTAAAACATAGAGAACCGGTCGGTCCCCGCCAGTATAATAAAGGTAGACTTGTTTTTCAAGCTTTTATAATTAAAATTCAGTCTCAGCTCTGAACGGCTCAAACAAACCCACTCTCGCATTTCAAGATAACTATTGGTTAAAAAAACTAAATGCCTACATAACTAACTTAGTATAGTGTGTTGAAAAAGCTTGCATAAAACTCAAAATCATCTAAGACATGCTTCATGATGTGCTTTCGGGGATAGCTATGGGTTACCTAAAGCTATGTTTGTGACGACACACTGCGACCAGCAGTTTCAAACAAAATGTGGATTAAATTGGTCAAGAAGCCTAAAAATGTGCTATCTCGCTCATTGCGTATAGTTTCGAGCGGGACAACACAGTCTACAGTCGTCACAAAATGTGTGAATGTCAAAAAATTGGTTCAAATTGAAAAATATAAGACCTGTGGCGAGAAGCTCAGCCGAGCCGGCACTCGACAGTGACCCTCGGGATGGTGGATCTACATCAATGTAGACTTTACTTTACCAATTTAATAAAAAAAAACATCATTCATGTAAAAGTTACAATGCTATGAATATTTATGAACAATCTGATGAAAATATTGAATCACTCCATAATATCTTTATAATATCAAAGAAATAAGCCTGAAATGCAGCAGGCTGCGGAGACACATTCGAGTGGCTTGGTGACCCCACTGATGAGCATTGAAATTGTTTAATTATTCCATCAGTTTTAAAAAGTAAAGAATCTAAATAAATTCAATAAACTTTAAACAATTAACACAAATCTTATTATGATGAGGTATAAATATAATTTCCTTGAATCCAAACAATGCAAAAATATTTTTAAATTGAATCCAATACCTGAGGAGTGTGCAGTGTGACAGAGATCGTGCGGCGTTTGAGTGTTGACAGATCTCCGGAGGAGATCGGCCAGTGGAGCTCGGTGACCTTCAGGTGTCACCTGACAAATTAACATGGTTTAGTAAAATTAATTACAAGTTTTAATTGAAATATGTATATAGAACATTTTACATCCGATTTGAGCTGTATAAATTAAAGGTGCTTGCTACAGATAATTTTTTGGTCAAGAACTCAGAGTCAGACACCCAGCACAAAAAACTAATTTTTAGGTCCCAAATGATTAGAAGTGATGTGATTTTGAATAATTGTTTTACATATTTTTATTTTATATCGAAATTAATTATTTTCAACTAGGTATACACATAAGTTTAAAGAAGGTAAAATATCGTAATTCACACTTGTTATCATTCACAAAATATATGCAAACCAATAGAATTTACATAATATTTTTACAATTTTAGATAAATGCATAATATTAATTTTTGATTCAATTAATTTAAAAGTTACCTTATCCTTTAATCTATCAAGATGAGGAGTCTGAGTGCCGCTGGCTGGACAAAGTACAAGTCTTTCAATTTCCTGGTTTAAACCCTCCACTGAGGAACGAGCTGCCCTTAAGGGCACTGCACCACCACTAAAACGGGACCCTGGAAGATTTAATCACACAATTAGAAAGGCACTGCCTGTAGTTTGGATATGATGCCAAACTACAATAAAAAAATGTTTTACAATTAGACACAGTTTTAACAAATTTTCTAGGTTTGAAAATTGATTTGTTTTGAAATGGGCCTAAAATCATATTTTTTAATATGATTTTCTTTTCATTTCAGAGAAATAACAAAATGTTAAACATTATTTTAATTTCGATAAAGCATATCACTAATAATTTAGACGTAATTTCTACATACATAGTCCAGGACTCATAGAATGTGCAGAAAAATCTCCAGATCCTGATGGTTTATGTGGTCTCTGCAGACGACTACGAAGAAAACGATCTAGCTTATCATCTTCTGAGCCTCTTGATGACCTTCCAGATACACCACCTCCATCATCAGTCTGAAACATTAATTAAGTTGAAAGTTTAAGATTAAGCATGTGTTATGTACACAAAGTTTTTTTAATATGGTATTGTAAATAGAACATTTAATCACAGATATTCACAGATATATGTAGGCATTTCTAACTAAGAATATGGCTTGTTTAATCAAGACAATATTAATTCAAACAGTCTTGGATTATTAAAATAATCAAATATCAGATCCCACAAGTATCTAAGAGTATCTATCAAAACTTTTTTAACTATTGTAAAATATATGATATACATAATAACCAAAAATTTTATATCATGTATTTATGAAACAGGTTAAAAATTAAATTGTTACTAAGATATTACAGATATATTACATTAAGAACCAAAATTACTCACTTGAGTGGATTTATCAACTTGTAACTGCCCCGCATGTAGATAGTAGTCTCTTGACCATTTCCCTTTTTGATACAAAGTATCTAAGGACGCTGTGCGTCGAATTACACTGGATCCTTTACCTTAAATAAAGGTTAAATGAATAAAACTCTAGAATAATGCACATTTCTTTTAATATTACACACATTTGTAAAATTGTTAGTTGAAGGCATCTCTATTTTTTACACTGTTACAAATAAAAATATGATCTTACTAAGATACCAGAACTCCATTGCAGCTATATCCAATCAAATATTTTGACATATAAGCAAAATAATGATATTTACTTGATTCAAGACCGAGATACATTAACATGTGATCAGAAGAAAATGGCTTCTTGTAAAAATTAAGAGGTGGTAGTTAATTTAAGAGGGTACTTATAATTATATAAATAAAAAGGTACCTTTATAGTTGACAGCTCCGGGGCTCCTCTGACCGGAAAGAGCGTGATCAGGGGAAATCCGTCGCCACACATTGGTGGGTGAAAGAGTGGGGCTGTTGCCAGTATTTTTTTTTAATCCGCCACTTGGTTTCATTATTGAAGAGACCGGCAATGTCGCTCTCATAGGACCCTGCTTGCCCACAGGGCAATCCGATTGTTTTCGGACGCGACCCGACATTTTCACTAAATGTGCCGACTCACAGATTTATCAATACTTTATTCGTATCGAATGCAACATCTAAACGCAACTACCACTTCAATGTCAAACAAATAACATTAAACGCCGAGTGCCGACGCCGCACGGCTTCTTTGTAAGAGATCTTGTTAGGCCGTGAATCGACTGTGCTATGTGCTTTTGTAATAGTTTATAATATAATGTGTATGTTCGGGAAAGTACGTTAAAATATAAAGAAACAAATTTTGAACGTAATTAATCTTCATCTAGCACTTATTAAGTAAAACAGAAATTAAATCAAACAAGTCACATTTTTTTTCTGCACTACAATGGATGAATGAATAAAGTGACAGCTGACATAGGGCCGAAGATGTCGCGCCATTCTTTGTTCATGTAAACAATTATTTTCAGATAGCATTCAATTTAAATTTCGATTAAAATATATATAACGAAAATCATGTAATAAAACTGGTTTTTAACATTGCGATTATCAGCTGATTACTTTGCTGTCTGAACTCTAGTTAAAATATTTAGCAACTCAACAGATTGTCCATGCCTGTATGAACTTTCTCTGTGAGAGTAGTGGGGTAGGTCCTTTAGTATTTTTCTTCTATCACAATCTGTGATCACAATTCACAATAAATAAAACACATAAATGTAGTTCATATTTGTACAAATTTTCTTTAAAATCTTAATACATTTTTTGTATCTCTAAATATATTCTATATTTTTATGTTACTCTCTGCTACTGTCTAATGGATTACACTAATTTTGCTTATTTTAAATTTGACTTGTAATTAAACCCCATATAATAGGACCTACTTCTATATTGATGTTATTAATTGTTATTTTATGTTGTACTCCTATATTATTTTTAAATTTAAACAAACATAAAAAAAGCTTTTAAAGATTGTTAAATATGTTACAGTGGAAACTCCATTATAATTTAATCTCTTAAAAACCAAAGTCATTAAGGATTTAGAGAAAAAACAAAACTTGTATTATTATTACTCTTTTAATATTGAATACTTCGCTTGGTTTGTATATCATCTAGCAATATTCTTAACTCTTCATCTTCAAACCTTCCTTCCAAAGATGGTATAAGTGCCTTAGCTTCTTCTGGTGTTTCAGGACAGAGATTTGCTAAACTAGCAACTTCAAATTTGTGAAGTTTCTTCGATTGCAACAAACTAGAAAATATAAATCATTATGTATTAAAAGTTTCATTCTAATGTTATAAAGTCTAAGGTTTTTTTACTATATTTTTAGTACTTTTATAAACTTGTTTTTTGCTATATTGTATATGAATATAACCTCACTTGTAACTAAACAATTTTAAGTATGTGTTATAACAAAAACTTACTTTCTTACAGCAGTTATAGTTTCTTTGTTTTTAAACTTCTTGAACATATTTGTATATGTTAGAGTTTTCATAAACACTTCTGAAAATTCCTGTTCTTCCTCAGCAGACTCATTTTGTGCTTTTCTATGTTCTAGTAGCATGTCAACTTCCGATATGAGCAATGTTTCAGCGTTTTCGAATTCTATGAATAAGAAAAAAGGTGTCTTAAGCATATAGATAAATAATTGATATAGAAATAATAATATTACCTTTTGGAAATTGTAGGTCAGCGGCATCTTCTTCAATAACATCTTGAATGGGTCCAGACATTTTGACTTTTTAAGTATTTGTATTTCTTGTTATTTGATATACAATAGAAATTAAGTCGTAGTTTTCCTTATTAATAAAAACTTTTATAATGTATATTGAACATTCAAATTTGTTTGATGCAGAGGGTTGTTTTGATGATGGTTTACGTTTAGTGTTTACAAAATTTCAAATTAAATTTCAGTATTTACATTTCATATGACAATTGACAACTGCCGGCTTTTTTGCAGGTTACAATACAATATCACTTTTTAAAAGCTAATAAAAATAATTGTTAGTGTTTATAACTATGCAATTATCATTTATCGAATATTTTTTGATCTTACGACTGGTTCGCAGGGACTAGCAAATTATGAATATCGATGAGAAAAAGACAAAACTACAATAGGAATTACTGGGCTCTTTTTAAATGAAAATGTAAACAAAGTAAATTTAAAGTTTTATGTTGAAGATTTTATGACCTATTTCATACTAAAGTAATATTACTATAAGGTAGTGTTCTAGTAACGCTATCTGTATTTCTATTCTGTATAAAGTATAAACCGTCTTATAAGTTATCGTATATCTGTGGTATAACCTATTGTACTTTGTAAACAAAACAAATATTAAAAAAAATTCAAATCCAAAAACAAATTAATTAAAAAAAATTAATAATGAATAAAACACCCACAAAACTCACTGATAACTCTTATGTTTTTACAGCAAAAGGTTTGTTTGGCTTTGCTTCGTATGGCTTGTTCTGTATTAATATTTCGCCAATCCTATCTTTATTTGTAACATAATATGTTATAATACCTTACAAGGTATATTCAGTTTTTTATTTATATATAACAATTGATCTAATAATTCAAGAGTATTTTTCAAATATAAATCAATATAAACGATATAAGGCTTCTCCTAGCTTAGTAAAAACTTTTAACTTTTTTTTAAACATACCATGGAAAGATTTACGTTGAAATCAGGCTGCAGTTACTTAAATTTTGAAAATCTATCAAGTTTGTGATTTACAAGGCCTATTTAAAGCAGTCATTTTTATTTGCTTGCATTTATTTTCAGAAGTAACTACACCCAACAAAGACAGTCCTGGCATATGTAGAACTGTATATACCCATGTTGCCAATTTACACAATTTACTTAGCGATTGGGAGAAATTGAAGGAAAAAGGCACTAAAGTAACCAAGTCTGTGTCAGCTCTAAAGCTCCATGAGTGTACTGATGATTATTATCCACATCAGCTGCATCCTCTTATGGAGATGCTTTTAGAAGCATTAAATGGACTCCGTAATATTGTTGAAGGTCAGTTTTAAAACAGAACCATTGTTCTATAAGAAATTTAAAATTTCACACAAAATTAATTAGTCTCTTAAATTCTCTACTTCTAATTTTGGTATGTTGAGAAATCAATTTCATGTTCTGACATAAATTATTTTTATATTAATTTTAGATTAACACTAGTTAGATAGTGTAGTGTAATATTTATGATAGGCTTAATGACAAGGATCACATAATAGGATTTATTTTTATTATTTCAGGTGTGAGAATAATTAACAAACAATTAAAAGCACTTGCTGCACTTGACAAATCAAATGATAGAGTAGTATTTACATGGACAATTCAAAAGTTCTCAACAACTGTAGATGAAATATGTACCTCTTTATCCAAAGAAATTCATTTAAAGGAAACAGTGACAGGTAGGTTCTAAAAAGTTAAATGTGATTAAAATTTAGTAGGTCCGGTCTTTTCCCTACAATGTGTTGTTGAAAAAGGGCTTTAAAAATTCTGAAAATCTATTGGTTTTTGTAAGAAGTGTAGAGTATGTGATATTCTGATAGTAAGAGAAAATGTGGAGTAAGTGGATAGACTGTATGTTTACTAATGTTGCATGACAGGATAAGCAATAGTGAGATACATGAGCAGAGTGCTATAAATAAAGTTGTAGTGAAAAGAAAATTAATGAGAAGCAGCTTACGAGTAGGATATATTTGGATGCTATGGTTGAGTTGGGTAGGCCTAGTCGTACTTACCTTGACCAAATCCAGGATGTTCTCAAGGTCCCTTCAATGAGGTTCAGAAAAGGAAAAAGGGGGAAAAAGGGGAAAAGTATAGATAGATAAATAAGATAGTAATTCATTTATTAAATTAGACAATTACAGGTTCCTTGTGTTAATATTTTAGTAAGATTCAGTGATTTAAATATAATGCACATTAGCACAACAAACCACTCACAATTTGAATGTTGCAAACATTGTATGTGGTTCATTACATTGACCTATGTAAGTTAGTGATTAGATACTATTAACTGATAATAGTTTCCATGTCATGGCTGTAATAAACAAGACAATTGTCTGCTGTGTAGACCCTTAAAAGAAAGAATTGGCTTATCAGAGTGTATCACTATATCCTCAGATATAGAACCCTATGTTACTATCTGTTTTTCTTTCTCTTTCCCAGTCCCATGTATTTAATTATAATAAGTCCAAAAGTTATTTGGATAGTTAATGTGTAGTATGATATAAATTAAATTATGTTTTCTTAGGAATTCCAATTCTTAAGGATTTGTGAATAAAAACATTTTGTTTCTTGTTACAGAAAACCTTGCACACTGTAGAAATGAAAGCCTTATAGAAGTGTATGTATCTGCGTGGGAACTAGAAGCCTATTATAACATTGAAATGAGTGCTTACTTATTTGCTGATATAGGATTATTGGGTATTTCGTGACAATGAAGTAAGTGCTTGACATATATTTCCCCTTTTATATAGAAGTTTATTAATCAACTTCTGCAAAAATATACTTTAATGTATTATTTGTTGTATTTATAAATAGCCTATATATATTATCTTTTTTATTCCAATAATAAAAAATGTATAATTAGAAACACTAGCAACAGTCCTTGACATTATGTAAGATACTTCACCGCAATTGTTTTTATTTTTAAATTAACAATAATATGTTCAACGATTTATATTTATTAAAAAAATATATAAATCCCATTACACAAGTGCAGTTTCAATATTACATTATGGACAAACATTTAAATCAGTTTTAAGGTATGAACAATAATGGTCAACTAATTAGAAACGACATTAAAAAAGTATTAAGAACAATATTTTTTAAGTATTAGTATTGTTATTTACGAAATAGCTACTATCCACAGCCTACCAATAGTTATGATTAATATTTAGTGGCGTATCCCTTATTTGAAATAACAGCACTGCAACGACTATTGATTAGGTTTACGTTTGTTTGAGAATTTCTTTTTAAGAATATACCAAACATTTTCTAACAGGTTTAAAATCCAGACTATTTGCTAGCCAGTCTAAAACGGATATACGCTGTTCGCTAAGGAAACATTTGACGCTATTGGCCGTGTGTTTAGGGTCATTGCCATTATAAAAGATCCAGATTACAAGCAAATGATCGTTCAAGTAGGCAATTATTGTGTGCTCTAAGATATTTTTGTATTGCCATTGATCCATTGTACCCGCAATCTTCAAAACGGGTCCAACTCCACATCCGAAAAACACCCCCAAACTTTAATATTACCGCCCCCGTGCTTGACTATACTCCTTGTGCATTGTAATTAAAAGCATTATTTATAGGACGGTAAACAAAGCGCTTTCCATCGGAATTTGCCATATTTATTTATGTTTTATCTGAAAATAACACTGTTTTCCAGTCTCGTACCGTCCAATTAACCTATTTTTTAGCGAATAATAACCGGTTCTCTCGGTGTTGCTTGGTAAGAAATGGTACCTTTCGATAGATTCTTCGAAGCAATTTAGCTTCCTTAATCCTCGGCGTATCAATCTTAACGAGATGTTTCTCGGGTCATAAAATATAATCAGTGATAATGTAGCATTCAAATGGTGAAACAAGTTTTAAAATCGGTCCAGTACTTTTTGAGCCAATTCGTTACAGACATACAATTCTTTCCTCTTTATAATATTAGTATCTCTTCATTACAATAATAGCAAAAATGATTTACAACAAACATGACCTATGTGTATTCCCTTTCCTTTACTAATCGATTTTCCCCATTCTTAATAATAATGTTGACTATTAATTACAGTTTTCCATTTTCAATTGCTTTTTACGTCAAAGTTTTCATAATGTTTAGTTGAATACTGACTTGAACTTAAACAAGGCCGTTACTATAGTAACAAACGCTAAACATAATTAAGCCATTTTCGTGATTGTACGATGTTTTGTTGGTGTAGAAAAATATCTACATATTTAAATACCCTGTACAAAACAAAACTATACAAAACTTTTATGGAGAAAATGTATATACAGGTCGTAAATAACTCACGTGTACTGGTTAAAAGGCAACAATAACACATTGTTTTCTTGTTGAATTCTTGAACTCTTTAAAATAAAATAAATTTATGTAGAAGAGTACATATGTTTTTCACTTTTGAAGACTGATTGCTAGAAAAATAATTTTCTTTATTTTCTTTTTTTTAATACACAAGATCGTAAGTAGGTGCTTTTTTGCCAAGCAGTGACTAGTTCAAGGCAAGCATTTTAAGAATTAAAAAATATATATATATATCTTAATATCACACCATAATATAACTTATTCATAAAGGAAACATATAATACACACTACATTTACTACCAGTTCTCACATCAACCGTAGAGAACTCTTTGCCACTACATATTTTTAATCAAAATTATTACAAGATACTGCAATCATTACACCATGCTCCACATGACATAGTATAGCCATCAATAGTAATAATAAAAATTACCAAAAAGGAACATTTAGCCGAATAGGCGTTGCCAAATTATTGTAGATCATAAATACTCATAAAATAATAAATTTTGAATTTTTGTTGAGTCAATTATTTCCCTCTTAATGTATGTAGCTTACGGGATAACCTATATAAAGATGCGACACGATTTATGAAGAGTTTTGGGATATTGAGGGATGGAAATTTGACCTAAATTCAAGGGTGGCCTATCTTGTCTGTTGACGAGAGTATTTCACACTCAATTGATTTCAACCTTTATAAATTATGTTACGTAATTTTATCGTATTTATGGCGTCATACTTATATGCAAAATCCTTCACGCCATATTGAAATCTATATCTTATATATAAAATTCTCGTGTCACAATGTTAGTTACCATACTCCTCCGAAACGGCTTGACCGGTTTTTATCAAAATTTATATGCACATTCAGTAGGTTTGATAATCGGCTACTATTTATTTTTCATACCCCTAAGTGTTAAGGCTTGTCCACCCCAAAAATTTATTTTTATATTTTTGGCCATTTTTTTTGTTTTTATTTTTATGATACAGCATACAAAAATACATACCACCCCTAATTTTCACCCCTCTACGATCAACCCCTATTTTTTATTTGTTAATTAAAATCTTATGACCAGAACTCTGAGGTGTAATACACAGAAATAAAAAGTTGTCATTCCAGAAAATCGAACAGACTCTGGGGTAGTATAGCAAAATGTTCCAAGTTGGAATACCATACTAAAACGGTAGGCTAAGTAAAATCACATTAAGGAGAAACGAAGTTCGCGGGGGCAGCAAGTTTATTATAAAATGGGAAAATACTAGTGCTAGCCTATAGGCTTCAGCGTGCGACTCCCATCCCTGAAGTCGCGTAGGTTCAAACTCCGGTTGTGTAATAATGGGCTTTTTGCTTATTAAATGATCACGATTCGGAAACAGAAATTTGAGGATAGACCTAAAAGTAGTAGCACCACTGGTGTTTCTTATTTATTAAAAGTTGCCCGGTGGTGTCTTATTTTGTATGAATGCCATAAACTCTACCTCACGTATTTTTATAGGGTTCACGAGGAAATAGTGTGATTCGTCAGATTGGTTGAGAGTTGTATTATGTAAATTAACTGAAATGTAACAATTATTCAAACTCAAAATAACTTTATTCATATAGGTAAATAAGTACACTTATAAACGTCAGAAAAGAAGTTAAATTAATTGTAAATTTACATTTACTACCAGTTCGCAAGTCAAGGGCGTAGAGCGGGCAAGAAGAACTGGCAAGAAACTTTCCGCCACTCTTTTTAATCGCTAAGTTTTCAGTGATACAAATTGTTTGAACTGGAGCAAATCAATCCCAAGAATTAGGATCATTTAAATATTCGTCAAATTTATATTTATATATTGTTGAAGAGGTCGCCAAAATACGCGAATATGACTCGAACCAAGCTTCGGTCAAAAGCCAATATGAATTTTTATATACTCGTATGAATATGTTTTTTTTTATAAATAATTAAAGCTCCATTATTGAAAGAAAAATGATATTGATTTTAAGGACAATTGAAGTTAAATGTATTTCACTCATCAACACGATGTTTAGAATACCACAAATGAACAGATTTAAATCTAATATAATCTAATATTTGACTAAGCGTTAATTTCTAAATAATGAAGACAATAGAAACCTATCATTCAATTCGCTCGGAATCACCTCGAAGGTAGCCACGATAAGATAGATGCGTAGTATGTACGCGAACGTAGATATTTACATGAATGTGCGCATTTTATTACGTAGATAACTTTGCTAAAAGTCAACAATAGAGCTGAGAAAATGACGTGAATAGAGTCGCGATTGTCTTTAATTTTTCATTAGACTCTCGACACATGTCTATAGACCAAATTGGTGATGACTGAGATTGATTTTCACTCTCATAAGTTATTGAAATGGTGTGGCTGAAATAGAGCCTTGGTATGTCATAAACTTTATCTTTCTGTACACTATGAGATCGTATCTCGACTCCTCCCCTGCCTATGTTCCCCTGAGTATCGCAACCTATAATTTCGGTTAGAACTCAGTTTACATCATTTATACTTTAGTGACGATACTATCTACATTTAACGGTCTTCCTCCCATTAATAGAGAGTGTTAATTTTATTAGCAGAGATGTAGCCGCTTAGCGTTTTGGCCGACTAGCGCGGTAGTTTTTCTACTATTCTTAATTACTTACGCAATTGTTTTTTTTCTTTCGTTTATATTGTAATCGTTATATTTCATTTTATTGTATCTATGTAGTAAAGTTTACCGTAGTTATATGATCGTAGATAGATTTAGGGTACACTCAAAGTTGCACAAGTTCAGTATTGTTATTCAAAATCAAGATGGGACATCTGATGAGGAGTGCCTTCGTGATTGGGATGGGGAAAGACTACGATGAAGACGGTAAGTTATAATTGAATGTGAAACAATGTTCGTTTTTACCCTTACTAATTATTTTCTGTCTCCTACCTATCCTTACTAAGGTATACAGTGGAGGATTTAAATATTTTCAAGTTATGGGCTGTGAAGTTTTTGCCGCCTTTGCCTCTACAATTGTCATGTCCAAGAATATTTTTAAATCCAACAATGTAAGCTGACGGCGCAGAGGTCGATTACTGGTTGAGGGGCGGCGAACTAGCTATTTACTCTAGAATTTTGAAGTTTGCTACACCGAATGTACAATGACAAGTTAGAGAGGAAAGGCAAAATTTGTTGCAGATCTGTAAAATATCTGAAAACTATCATGCATAAATCTTTTTGATTTCTATGAGATAGCAAAAAAAACCGGGTCCCAAATTTACCGCCCTAGGCTCCAGCCTACTCAGCCTGCTCAGCCTGGTAAATCCGCCACTGTATGTATATGAACAGTGAAGGATAGCCCTTGATTGGCCAGTCTTTATCTTTTTGAATGTGCTGTAATTTATATCACTCAAACG